AAGCAACTAGTCATATTATTCGTATTTTGACTTAATGTATTAGCAAGATTGAAGGAATAAAGTAAAAGAGAAAGAGAATGGGAGTAAAGTAAAAAATGAACAAATAAGATGGAAATTAGTTGATAAGTCCCTTGGTTGGTTTTACGGGAGTCCAGATCTACTGACCGCAATATATATCTGGCCACATCAATGCAACAATACATCAAGAACATCTCTCGAGAACAATATAAAATACATGAGATGTTCTTGATCTATAGTTAGGGATGTAAACAGGTTAGGTTTGGAATGGGTTTACCTCAATCCTAACCTAACCCAACAACACCTCAACTTGAACCCAAACTTCACTCAACTAAATAATAAGCTTTTTTTCGAACTTATCCCGATCCTATAAAGTTTAACCTAACATGGATCCAATCCTCCTCGTAGTCTTTCAATTGTATTTTTACAACATTTTTTTTAAGTCTATTTAGTCATTAATTTAAGTTGAAATTTTGTTTACATGTCTCAAGATGTCACTTCCTCCACAGTAAAAGAAGAAAAATAAAAAAGAAGTGGAAAAGTAAAACCTAAATTTTAAGGTTATTGGGATAGAAAGCATGCAAAATTTTAAGAATATGCAAGGGCATCATGACTAGTTGGATATACACAGTCGAATCCAAACTTGATATAGGTTTAAGGATTGGAACCCTAACCTGACCCTAAACCCAAATAAGCAAAGTCCTAACATAGGGAGGGTAAGTTGTAGGGATGGATTCGAGCCGAATATTTGGCTATTTGAGCTCGGCTCGCTAAAATTGTATTAGGCTCGAGCTCGAGCTCAGCTCGGTTTAAAGCTCACAAGTTCAAGCTCGATTACAAGTCAAGATTTTTTCTAAAAAATAAAAAGTATAGTTATAAAAATATTTTTATTTTATATACGAAAAAAAGAATTATAAAAATATTTATTATTATACATACAAAAATAAAAAATATTTTTATTTTACATATAGAAAATTAAAAATTATAAAAATTATTTACTATTATACATAAAAAATAAAAACATTTTATTATTATTATTATTATTATTATTATTATTATTATTATTATTATTATTATTATTATTATATATGTATGTATGTATGTATGTATGTATGTATGTATGTATGTATGTATGTATGTATGTATGTATGTATGTATGTATGTATGTATGTATGTATGTATNATGTATGTATGTATGTATGTATGTATGTATGTATGTATGTATGTATGTATGTATGTATGTATGTATGTATGTATGCATGTATGTATGTATATAATAAAAAAAATTATTTATTATACTAGGCTCAATTAGGCTCGTGAGCTTCACAAGCCGAGCTTCACTATGCTCGAACTTGGCTCAATTAACAAACAAGCCTATATATCAGGCTCAAGCTCGATTTCAACCGAGCTCAAATAACTCGTGAGAAGCTTGGCTGGCCACCCCTAGTAAATTGGATTTATCATTTACATATGCAGCTTTGTTGATATGGCAAGCAAGGTGTTGTGGTCATCAGATCCAAGCTAGTATTGGAGGCTTGATATCAAATGGCATTACCACAAAGGTTGGGGGTTATTGGTGGTTATGGGTACAAGATATGGACTATCCCTATTGTGTAGGAGCACGGATCTCCTACCCAAACCTACCCAACATACTTTAGTTGGTAAGGTCTCCTACTTTCTAGTCCCACTTGCGCTTGGGTTAAGGGAGTTTATGGGTTTGGGGGATGGGCTATCACCATTGTTTAGCCCCTTGGAGCAAAAATAAGAAAAAAAAAAGATTAAAAGTAAAAGATATGGACCTTATCAAGTACAAGATATGGACTATCCCTATTGGGTAGGAGATACAGATTTGTTGTGTCTTGTACTTGATAGTTACCAAAAAAAGGTCTCATACTTGATACCAAAGAAAATCTAAAGACAGGTTTGGTTGTGGTGTAAATACACTTTTACATTGCTAGAGTAGAGTAATGGTCTATCGAGAGCATAAAATGTGGATTGAATCGTTGGAGAAGAGAATTGAGAAAAGTTTTATATCGAAAAAACAATATTAATATTACACCGATTATCAATGTAAAAACTTTCTTAAATTGAGTTATACATCAATTTATGATGTATAAAAGCACCGGTACTAAAGGCGAGCTCGATGCAAATTTACACCGGTCCAGAGTTTACATCGCAAACAAACAAGCCAAGAAGTAATATGTTATCTTATTGGTAAAAATGTACAATCAATCTAAACCTGGGTTTTTTACTCCAATTGCAATGGTATAGACCCTTATTTTGCATCTTATTATTTAATTTATCGATAATTTATCTATATATGTTATAAAGTAATCAAGGCCATGTCAGATGGCCTCTCCTTTCTCCCTTACCCAACCGAGAGCTCTCAACCCCTCTTTGCTCTCTCAAGAAGCCACTTCAGCAGTCTCCTCTCTCATATCGACATCTCAACATGCTTGGCCCACTTCTTCGTTCACAATTCCTAATCGTGATATAATAGGAGTCTACTCAACCGAACATTCCAAGCTAATCGAATCCTCCTAGAAAACTTAAGAAACCCTCCTAGACTACTTATGAAAATTTCCTTCTCTATCCCACCACTCTCTTCTCCCAATAATAACCCCCCCTTGCAAAAATGAATTCTCTGCTCCTTCAACCTCAAAATAGGGCAACCATCTCTTCTCATTTTAGAAGAGTTAGACCTTCGTGTTACAACAATAATAACCTTCTCATTTTAGAAGGAGGATTGTAAATCTTCTCAGCGGAAAAGTGGGTGGAAACAAAAGCTTCTTACCCAAGCCGATACATAAATTCTTATCAAAACTGTTGCCACGGCTTCGCCTATCTATTACATGAGCCACTTTAGAATACCAGTGACTGTCTATGATGACATCAACTGGAAATTCTCAAGTTTCTTCTGGGGTCAAAAAAACAAATGAGAGGAGATTACATTGGCTAAATTGGAATAAGCTCTGCCTAGTCAAATCTAAAGGAGGTATGGGCTTTCAAAACCTAAAGCTTTTCAATTGGGCCCTCCTTGGGAAAATGGCACGGAGGCTACTAAATAGTCAGAATTCCTTGTGAGGAAAACTTCTTATATCTTTGTATTTAGCTAGATCACCACTACTAACTTCAAATTGCCCACCTCGTTCCTCCTGGCTTTGGCAAAGTATCACTTATGGTATAGAACTTCTTAAAAACAGTCTCTATTGGCGAATCGGTTATGGGGCCAACATACTTATTTGGGAAGACCCTTGGTTGCCTTCCTCTGAGGTTTTTAAAATCCATCCCCCCAACCCCAAAGATGTGAGGTCTCGAAAGTAAATGATTTTGATTTTATGCAACCCATGCTGTTGGAATTAGACAATGTTGACCAGTTTGTTCTAAGCATCAGAGGTTGCTTGTATCTTGGGCATCTTTGCAAGCAATCCTGTGTTGGCAAATTTGGAAGGCCAAGAATGATCTCATATTTAAGGGAGAAAGCCAGGACCCGCTATTGGTAGTAAGGAAGAGCACTAGTATGTGAAAGGAACTCTTACAACTTACAGAACATTTGGAGCCAAAAACCAAAGCAAACAATAGATGGGGAATGGGGAATGGGGATCCTCATAGGAACAGGGATAGGGATAAACCTGTCCCCATTGGTGGGGATGGGGGATGGTGAGTGGCTCCCCGGTCCATTGCCATTCTTATTGAAGGTTGTTTGACCAACTAAACTGACTTGGTCAAGTTAGAGAGTTGGTCACTTGAAACTGACTAACCATTGGTGAAAATTATAGCCAATTTGGGTTGTACCAGTTTGGGTCAATTTTCGATTTGGTCGGTTGGTTCAAAAGATTTAAACTTAAAATTTTAATTTAAAAAATTATAGTGGTATTATTAAAAATTAATTAAAAAATTAAATCTATGTTATAAAATATTTGACTAATAAATATGAGATTTTTCCACTTTCTCGTATTAAAAAATACTAAAAAATTGACCAACTTGGGTTGAATTAGGTTAGGTTAATCGGTTTCATTGATTTGATGAACAACCCTAACTAAAATTAGTTATTATTATTTTTGTATTGTAAAAAAGTATTAAAAATAATATATAAAATATAAATAATCATTAATTATTTAAAAATTTAAAATATAAAAAAAGTATACACTTTTACGTATTTCTATTGTTTAGAAAAGCCGTACATCGCACTGTCCCGCTAGTTTAATAATAAAATTTCATAGCAATGGATACTAGGGGTGTTCACGAGTCGGGTTAGGTCGGTTTGAGTCATTTTCTTCAACCGACCCAACCTAGTCAGTTAACTTATTAACTAAACTGAAACCGACTGACCCTAAAGCAAAACCGACTCAAACATGATGGGTTGGTTTATCAACTTAGTCAGTTTTTATATATATTTTAAACTAAAATATTTATTTATATTTAAGTTTATTTATTTTTAGTTTTTATGCAAAATCAAAATATATATTTAAATCGATTAGTTTTTTATGCAAAACTGATTTTTTTATCAATATATATTTGAATTTATACAAAACTGAATTAAATATTGTAACATTGTATTATTTTTGTATTGATACCTTTTAATTTTTATCATAAATAATTAATTTTTTTCAAAATTCAAACAAAACACAAATAAAATATATTAATATTTAACATATAGGGTAGAAACTAATTAATAATTACTTACACATATAAGATTGATTCGATCTAATAAGTGGTTTTAAAAACGAACCAACTCGGTTGAATCGGAACGGTTTGATCGATTTAATATTTAATGTGAACACCCCTAATGATACATTTCATCTGCCACATAAGAGTTGTAGTGCTTCTATCTTGTTTTTTCTATCATGCCTACTACATTGACCTTTTACAATTCAAATCTTATATATTTTGACCGGAAATTATTTCAAATTCATAGTTTACCATAAAAAGAGCGAAAATTGTTTCTTTTCGAAAATGCTTTTTATTATGAAATTACAAAATATCATTAGCGACTGAAAGGGATGGGGATCATAGGAATGGAGCTGCGGAGGTAAAAAAAAAAAAAAAAACCAAAAAAAGAATTGAAAGGTGTTGAAACAGAGCGGAGTCCTCCTTTTTTTTTTTTGTTATTATTTTCTTGATTTTCGGGGCTCCTGGTTTTCGCTTTGTAGGGTTTCTGTGTCCTCTGCTTTTTGAAATATCGGGTTGGATAGAGGAAGACTAGGAGGAGGAGGAGATCTATCTATGGCCTTACAAGGGCAGGGAATCGACCCTGCAGTTCTTGACGATATCATAAATCGGCTTTTGGAGGTGCGATCGGCCAGGCCGGGTAAGCAGGTTCAGCTATCGGAAGCCGAGATCCGGCAGCTTTGCTCTGCTTCCCGAGAAATCTTCCTCCAACAACCCAATCTCTTAGAGCTTGAAGCGCCGATCAAGATCTGCGGTGCATTTTCTCGATTGCTTTCCATTGTTGCTTACTACTTTTTTTTTTCTACTTTCTTTTTATGCGAGATGTTTCTACTTTTATAATGATTGTTCTCTTTGATGGTTGATTTTTTCATTGGTGCCGAAAATAGGTTTAAAGATAACAATTTCAGAAATTTGCTTAAAAATCGGTTTTGCAAATGGTAATGCATTTTATCCTGCATGCCTTGACTGAATAATTATTGCTTGCATTTCTCTTTCTTTCTTTCGTTCTTTTTTTTTTTTTTAATTTTTTTTTTTGAAGTTTGTTTGCTTTTTTCCTTCGTTTGATTAATCAACTTATCTTCATTCGTTCTTCTTCTGGGAAAGATTAACTTTCAAATCAAGCATGAGAAATCTGACATGGATATCATATAGTTCATTGATATCTCTTAGATGAGTGGAAAAACTAGAAAGGATAGGATCAGGAATGAAGGTATCCGTAGAAACCTAGGAGTAGCTAAATAAGTGATAAAATGAGAGAGTAGGCCAAGATTGTTTAGTTACGTGCAAAGACCATCAACAGCTCCAATTAGAAGAAGTGATTTGTTACAAGTGGAAGGGGCTATAATAGTTAGAGTAGAACAAAAAGGACATGGGTTGAAGTAGTAAGAAATGGTTTAAGCACTAATAATTTAACATGATTCATGTAGCAAGGTGCCAACCAGCTGATTGGTAATGTCTCCTGCTGGTCGTAGGGGAGATTTGGGATTGGATCCTGCCTGCACCTGGGTTGGGGGGTTGGGGGATGGGCTACCCCGTTGTGTAGCCCTTCAGAACATATAAAAAAAAACAGGATTCATGTAGTGACTCCATATAGTTGGGACAAGGCATTGATGATGATGATGTAAACTCTCTTAGATAAAAAAGTTAGACGTGAATTCTCATATTTTAGTTAGCTAATGAATTCTGCAATAGTTTTTACATCAAGAGTTTACATTTTAATATTAAATTACTATTGTCTCTTTTTATGTAGATTAAGAAACCTAGTTCCATTTCCAAAACATGGAGACACTTTGTAATCTCTTTATCCCTGTATTGACCTAGTACCATTTGACTTGCTGAAGTTACACCCCATGGCTAAAGTCTGAGACAAGGAATCTCCTTGCAAGGGTTCACATCGTATTGTTCTCTTAAACCATTGAATAAGGTCAGTTTTTGGTCTTATCAGAAAAAAAAGTCCTTTTACATACTGTGTTGGTCCAGTACCATATAACCTGTCATTTCCATCAAACTTGTTGAACCAAATGGTCGCTATTTCATATTGATATGTTCCATGCTTAGAAAGTTGGTATATTCTGACAGGCTTTGTGTGACATGTATCGGTTTTCCAAATTGGTACGGTGATATATTTTGTGTTTGTCTTGGTACTATCCTTTCAATATTTAGCAATGTTTGTCTTGGCACTAATGTGCAGGGAAGATCTGATGTTCTCAAGTCAAATTACTAATTGTATATTATTTCTCAAAATTAAGTTTTAAAAATGTTTTCTTTCTTAATTATTTTGCATGTAAAAGTCTGCATATATAATGCTTTCCTGGGAACATAAATCATAATCATAATCTTTATTTGTAGTTGTACCCTTTTTCAAGGGGTCTTTCCAAAGAAAGGTGTTGAAATGGTGTTTTGGGATGCAATGATGAGATGAGAACTTATTTTGATGCTTGATTGACTATTAAGAAATTCCCCCCATTTTGCTGATGTATTGGATTCTTTTGTTTTTTGTTTTGCTTTTTTTTGGTACATGCTCATCTTTTGATTGGAATTCATTCCTTTTGTTTTTCTATTTGGTAAGATGGTTGTTATGCTTGTTTATAGTAACTTTCTGTACATGGATCATAATGCAATGATCTGAAAATCATACTTTATCTTAGATTGTAGAGAAAGTTTAATTGAATCAAATCATGAATTATATTGTAAATCATAAGATTATTTCTGTTTTTTATAAGATTTTCTCATGTGGAGTTGGAGGGTGATACTCGGATTGTTATCATTTAGATGAGAAGAGGTGATTAGAGGCTATGATAGCATTTTCTTTATATTAGAGGGGCTAGACCTTTGTGATTCAAAGTGCACATATCTGCCCAGATAGGTCCAAAGAACATTTAACTCATAAGTGGATGCTTTAGTGAGGCAGGGGAATTGGGGGTCTGAGCTGTACAAGGTTTTCCCCCTTCGTGGACATAATTTCGTTCTTATTCATTTGATCTTTTTGGTTATGAGCTTTGTACTTGTTTGCCTTACCTTGTTAAGGCTTTTTATGATTTGGTCTTATATGTATGAGATTGCATTGTCATGCTCCTCTCGTTTGTAGTATTTCTTTTATTGTTTTAAGTAAAATCATTATTTTTAATTGTTAAAAATCATTCTTTTTAATTAGAGATGCTAGATCTTATTCTTGGTGTAGTAGGAAAGTTTGCTGAAGTTTTTGTTTCATGTGCTGTTAGTTAGTTGGATCTAACAATTTTGGACATTGGACACCTCACATTTACTTTTTTGTTATTATTGTGTATTATTATTATACCATTTCTGGGTTGTTTGTGTTCTTTTTCTTAGTATCATAATGGATTATCATGTTATATTTTATTAATCATGAGAAAAGAGAGAACAATATGTAGGGCTACCTTGGATGCTCCCTGGAAGGCCATCCATGATTTTCTCCCTACATTCCTAAATCATATCAGGTACACCTTGTCTTCTGGTAGTAAAATCAGATTTTAGGAGGATGTGTGGATTGGGGATACTCCTTTGGGTGAGAAAAATTCCTTCTCTTTGTGATTTGTCCAAGTTTAAGGGTAAGCCTATTTCAGATTTCCTAAGTCAACCATCTCACCTTCCAGGGTTGAATTGGAACTTTGGATTTAACAAGAACCTTAGAGAGTCTGAACTTCTTGCAGTGTCTGAGCTGTTAGGATTGCTGAATTCAGTATTTTTGGGGGAAGGTGGGCCAGATTCTTGTTTTGGGAAGATGTTTGGGTTGGTGAAAACTCCCTTAGAGATAGATTTCCTTCTATTTACTCCTTGTTTGAAAACAAAAGAAAAGCGATCTCTTCAGTGCTTGTTGATAACTCTTAGGATTTGGGCTTGAGAAGAGGTCTAAGGGATTTTGAAATAGGGATGGTTGATGATTTGGTCACTCAGTTAGGGGAAGTTTTTCTTGATCAGTCTTGTAGAGATAGCAGAATTTGGAAACTTTCCCCTTCTGTTTTTTTTAATTGCTCTTCTTTCTATAACATTTTGCTTCAAACCTTTAATCTTGTAGGGAACTTTCCTTCAAAGGAGGTGTGGGGTAGCCCTGTACTCCCGAAAATTCAGGCCTTTTGCTGGGAAGTGGCACTCCAAAAAATCAACACCTTGGATTTATTGCAGAAAAAGAGGCCAAATATGTGCTTCTCCCCCCATGTTTGTTGTCTCTGTTTGGGTTTTGGTGAGACAATTTCACATTTACTAATCTCATGTCCCTTTGTGTTCTTTATTTGGTCTTGGTTCTCTTCTCTCTTTGGCTGTAGTTGGACTCCCTCTTCGAGCGTGGTGAACCTCTTTGATCCAACATTTTGCAGGCAACCAACGGCATGGAAGGATTATGTGGAGAGCCACTAGAGCTGCTATATTGTGGTCAGTGTGGGAGGAAAGAAACAACAAGATCTTCAAAGGTAGTTGTAGATCCAAGGAAGAGGTTGTGGAAGAAGTAACTACTAAGGTTATCCATTGGTTGAAATCCTATGATCTTTGTAAGGATTTCTCAACTGAAGACATTTATAGAAGTTGGGGTATTGTGGCATCTACTATTACTTCCAAAGCTATGATACAGGAAGTTTGGTCCCCACCGACACAACAAAGGGTGAAACTGAACTTTGATGGAAGTTCTATAGGTAATCCGGGCCCATCTGTTATAGGAGGTGTTTTCAGAGATAATGAAGGCAAGATAATGGCTCTGTTTTCAGGTCTAGTAGGAGCTGGAGATTCCTTAAGAGCAGGAATCTTGGCACTGCATTGCCGATAAAAAAAATAAATCTTGGCACTACATCAAGGTGTAAAACTGGCCAAACAATTGGGGCTACAACAGATTGAGATAGAGGGAGACTCCAAGTTGGTAATTGGGTGGATGCAATCATGGCAGCTGGGAATTTGGCAATATAGACAGCTGATAAGGGAAATTCTTAGCATAACAAGGGAGGTGGGTGTTTGGTTCAAGTGGGTAAGGAGATCAACAAATGGTTTTGCTGACGCCCTAGCAAAACAAGGGATTGTAAGGGGGAGACTTTATTGGGCAGTGTTGTAATGTTTGATGTTTATTGGATCAACCTTTTCTAAGAAGGGTTGACTTTTGTATTTCAGTTTAATTTATCTCTAATGAAAGTTATCGTTTCTGATAAAAAAAGGTGGGTCAAATTCTAGGATTTGGGGTCCTAATTATGATGGGTCGTTTTCTTGTAAATTCCTTTTTCATTCGTTGGTTGCCACAAAATCTTCTCTTCCTTTCCCAGTCAAAGAAATTTGGTACCCTCCTACTCCCCCAAAAATCAGTGCTTTTTTGTTGGGAAGTATTTCATGGTTGTATTAATACCTTTGATGTACTTCAAAGGAAAAGACCAAATTGGTGCTTGTCCCCTAACTGGTGTGTCCTATGTAAGTTGAGTGGTGAGATTGCTTTCCACCTTCTAATATCTTGCCCTTTTGTCAGATTTATTTGGAATTGGTTTACTTCCCTTTTTGGGTGCAGGTGGTCCTCTCTTGACAAGGTGGAAGCTTTATTCAACCTTAATGGTATCAGTGGCATGAAAAGGAGGGGTAAGATTATATGGAGGTGTACTAGAGCAGCAATACTTTGGACTGTTTGGGAGGAAAGAAATGATAGAATATTTGAAGGAAAAGAAAAATGCAAGGAAGCTTTAGTTGAAACAATAACATTGAGGGTGGCGCATTGGGTTAAAAGCTTGAAGCTGTTATCAACTTTTAAGATCGAAGAATTTTTCAGGG